TTTGGCAGGTTGAAATCCAGTTTTTCCAACACCATTTATTAAATAGGCTATCTTTCCTCCAATGAGGGTGGTTTGCTCCTTTGGCAAAGATTAGGTGGCTGAGTATGTCTGGAGTTGTTTCTGCATCGTCTAATCTATTCCACTAAGGAGACTCATTTTAATCAGACAAATTGGAGAGGACAAGTGGTTTGGACAGAAGTTGCCTTTGTACAGTTGGTTTAAATGATGGACACAGTTGACTATTTTTTGGGAGAGTTTTATCATTATTTGTGAATTTAGGACATTCTGTTTTCCCTTTAGCATGTATTAGCATTCTTATTTTAGCAGTCTTTTTTTTTTGTACCGGGGATCGAACTCGGGTCCTTGTGCTTGTGCAGCAGGCAGCAAAACCACTGAGCTAAATCCCGGGCCCCAGAAGTTTTATTTTCTTGTTGGATTTACTTAAGTTCAATTTACCAGTACTTACAAGCAAAACAACTGCTCTACAATTGACCTTAATTTTTGCAATTACATAGCTTTCACTTAATTTTGATGTATAATCCACAAATACTATATGTAGTCTAGAACTTTCAGTAAATAATCCTTAGTCTAGTAAATGATTCTGTTACATTCAACCTAATGGAGGAATACCATACTCCTCACTTTTCAAAAATTTAAAATAGACCATATGGAAAATTAGATGAATTTTTCAATTCTAGAGAAAATGAATTACTATAAATAAAAAATATTAGTCTATTAGTTAGGCTCTTTTGGAGGAATTAAACACTTTGAATGGTACTAGACCTATGTCTTTCTCCTTGTTTTTGTGCCTTTTTCTATTTTAATAAGTAATGTATAATTAAAACTTCTAGATAGATATAATTTCTCACATCTCCAATGGTTCTGTCTGAGAATTTAAGTAAAGAACTCTCATGAATAATGAGAAGCCATACTCTTCCATGATTTCTTGTGACTGATTGCTGCTTAAAGCACAAGCTGTTGGGTCTCAGCTAGAACTACAGCACAGAGAGCAAGCATGCTGTGAGGTCATTCAATGCTCTGTACCTTTGGAACTGCACCTTTCTTGGTTGTAAGCCTCTAAGAATCAGGAGGAAGTATAGACATGCTCCTCTGCAAACTACACATTTTCTCCTTTCCACAAAGCTTGGCTTTGTATTCCAAGGAGTTCCTGTGAACTCCTTAAATTCTCTCCATCAATTCCTTTTTGCCCCAACAATCCATGGATCCCAGATATGCAGAATCTACTGAACACCAAGATTTCTCTCACTGGATGGACCTTCCTGTGGTCAAATGTGAGTTGTCCCCAAAGGTGCTGGAAGCTTGGTCCCAATGTGGTGATGGGAGAGGTCGTAAAACCTTAAAGAGGTGAGGCCTAGTGAAAGGTGACTAGGTCACTGGGTACACTGCCTTTGGAAGGAGAGAATACTTGTTTCACAAGCAAGTTGTTGTAAAAGGAACAGGATGGGCTGCTCTCCACTCTCTGGCTTCCTGTCTCGCCATGTGGTCTTTCCCTTTCCTGCTCCTGCTGTGATGTCATCTGCCATATTGTGACTATCAAAGGCCCATTTACCAAAGGTTGAACAGATGAGTCCTCCCAGTCTTTGATTTTCAGCCACAAAAACTGTAAGTTAAGTAGTTACTCAGACTCAGGTATTTTATTATAATAAGAGAAAATGTAATAAAATAACCACACGTTGATTTTTCTTCTCTCTTTTTAGTAACAGTGAGCCTGACATTTCTGGCAACCAGTAGATAGAGGATTTTACCCACCCTTTAAGATTTATTACCAATAATTTTATGCAGTAATTAAGAATATGGGCACAGCTACTCACAAACTGTATTACGGCACCTGATGCAGTTGGGTTCTGTGGAATACTTCTGTGTATGTTAAATACAGTCCCTTTTAGGTTAAGATTGTTTGAATCTACCTCTCTTCCCTGAAAACAGTTTCTCTAATTATCAAAACCAACAAGTGTCTCCTCACTTCATACCCACTAGGATAACTATAATCAAGAAAATAGGTACTAAACCTGAATGAGTATGTGGTGAAATGGAAACCATCTTACACTGCTAGTGGGAATATAAAACAGGACAGCCAATTTAGAAAACAGTCTGCCAATATTTCAAAAAGTTAAGTACAGGGGCTGGGGATGTAGCTCAGTGGTTCTGCTGCCTGCCTCACAAGCACAAGGACCAGAGTTTGATCCCCGGTACCAAAAAGAAAAAGTTAAGTACAAATTTGCCATATGATCCAGTAATTCTTCTAGGCATATACCCAAGAGAAGTAAAAATGTATATCCACACAAAAACTTGTACATGAAAAGCTAGCAGCATTCTTCACTGTTCAGAAACAACCCAGATGATGGGTAGATACATAAAATATCATGTATTCATACAATGGAATATTAGTAGGCAATAAAAAGAAATGAAGTCCTGGTAAATGTTGCAACTTGGATAAACCCTGAAAACATGATAAATATTAGAAGTCAGTCACAAAAGACAATATATTTTGTGATTCCATTTATGTGAAATGTCCAGAATCAGTAAATTGATAGAGACCTAAAGCAAACTAGTAGTTTCCAGGAGTAAGGGTGGCGAAAACTAGAAGTGACTGCTGACAGGTATGAGGTTTCTTATTTGGATGATAAAAGGTGTTCTAAAATTGATTGCAGGGTGATGGTTGTGCAACTCTGTGAATACACTAATGGCTATTGGATTCTACATGTTAAATGGGGAATACATAGTATATGAGATACATGTTAGTAAAGTTGCTACCAAAAAAGGAAGAGGAGGAGGAGGACAAGATGACAGGCTGCCTGTGTTTGGTCACTGTGGAATCTCGTGTGTCCTGAGACAGGAGTTTGGGTGCAATCACTGCATTTGGAAAACCACAGTAAGGAAGGAGGGCAGTGAGACAGGAGAGGAAGGAAAGCTGATAAAGCTCAGATTAATGAATGAGCAGCTGTCATGGGCAGCTGGGGCCCAGTCCTGCTGAGGCCCCTCAGAAAGGCTGTGGGAGACCACAACTCACAATTGCCACCCAGAGGATAAGAAAATGGGGCTATTTCTCTAATTATGGACTTCCCAGCCTACCCCATAAACAGGCCACACATGCTCCTATAACCAGAGAAAATCCCCAGGAAAGAAGAGCTAGAGACAGAAACAAGAGAAAAAGAAACAAAGACAGAAACCAAGATAAAGAGAAAGGCTTGTGGGTACGTGGAGTAGAAAGCAGTCAGAGTACCCAAAAGCTGTTCACCAACCCTACAGGTGACGCTCAGGGTGACAGTGGATATATACAGGGCCTTGATAAAGTCTGCTTAAGAGTGTGACTTAACCTGCATCTCAGTCCCTCATTCTTAAAATGGAGAAAATAATAGCTCCTACCTTACCAGGGTGATGTAAGAAGTAAGGAGTTAACACTTCTGATGTATGAAGTATGATCAAACAATATAATGAATGTGTAAAAAAATTTTTTAAATTAATCTCCCTCAAAATACCCTCCCCCTTGCTTCAAACACACGTATTCAATCATTCTTGGCACTTTCTGAAGCAGTTCTGAAAGTTCTCTTTGTGCATGTCCTTAGTTGTGTTGTCATAGCTGCTGCAATGTCTTGAATCAAAACATTTACCTTTATGGTCATATTGAAGACAAAAAGACACATGGTGCCAGATCCAGTGAATAAGGTAGATGAGGACACTTTATAATGTGTTTACGTGTCTGCTTTCTCATTGGATGGCACTCAGCAGCAGGATTTACTGTATTTTTTTAATCACACCTCATAAAGACATTCATGGAAGTATTTGAACCAAGGGTAAGTATCCTGAGGGGGTTAATGGCAATGTGCCTTTTACTGTGATAAATTTTTAAAATTTAAACATTTACCATATATTTTGATCACACCTACTACATAAGAGTCAAGAAAACACGTTTAATCTTTTTCGGTTTTTAAACTTTGATCTTATCCTTGATCATTTTTCAGAATGAGCTTTCTAGAAAATAGAGAAGTTCCATCTAATTCAAAAAGCAAAAGAATGATTGCCAAGAATAATGTTCTTGTTTAGGCCCTTTTGGATTTTATCAGCTCTGAATGGCTGCCTTTGAAGATAGGCCATGTGCCTTGTTACCACATCAGACAAGGTGCTCATCCCAGTAAGTTCTTCCATTGGAGCATCTTTCTCCACCTTGCTTTCCTACTTTATGAAAATTGGTGGGATTCAAGCAAGGGAATTTCGTTGTAGCAGTCTCATGTTTTCCTTGTGCCTCTGCATATTTTCCCAAAGCAGTGTTATGAGATTTGTAACTTCTAGGGAGCTTTCTTTCTATGAACCTTCTGTAGTCTATGGATGAAAGTCTGTTGCTGAGGTCCCAGGCAATTTGAGTCCTGCTTATGTCAAAAGCATGTATATTGTTATATTTCATTGCTCATAGATGAATGAAACAACCACACTGGTAAATATCCAAGGAGAAATAAGATTAAAAGAAATTGCCACCTGTGTTACATCGAGCTCAAGATGTCATAAGGAAAACTTACTTTAAATATTTTCTCACCTAAGAAAATACCTTTGGATTGTTTCAGGATGTGACTCTGCAACTAACCTGACATTTCACAAATCCAAAATTGCTGTGGATGAACTCTTTTCTTCTCTTTGGGATATTGCTGGAGCTCGGAGTCTCATGAAAGAGTTTAAGTCTGTGTATGTTCCTGGAAATCATACCCACCAGGTGAGTCCATGGGTTCTAAAGCATCTGTCTAATCTGTTGTACTTTTTGGATTCAGAGACTATATCTACAGGGTACATTTCCATTTAACCTCTCTAATTGAAGGTTTGTTCTAGATGAACTCAATTCCCTTTTAGTTCAGAGTTTGGGGTTCCACTAAATCTAAAAGGCTCTCAATTCATGTGTTCCTTAGCCTTGATGCAGCAGGATGAGCACTAAATTGGAAGTCACCTACTGCTTTATAGCTATGGTGATTCCTTAGCTTTAAGCAAGTCCTTTGCTTCTTTGGGAACCAGTTATTTCAAGTACTAAATGATGGACTAGCCTTAGATGACCCACCAGGTTCTAGATCTAAGCAGTCCATAAACATTCTGATCCATCAGAGGAATTAAAGTACCTAATGATACCAAGGCAAGGAAAACACAAATTTGTGACAGTGAAAACATTTATTATTAAAATTCCCCCACTGTTTTCTAAGGATAGTTACCAATAATGTTTTGGCCATTGAAGAGGAAGATGATATGAAAATCCAAGATTGCAGGGGTGAGTGCTGTAGAAAGCTCAAAGGGGAGAATGTATAGAAATACAAAGGGAAACTTAAGAAGAGAAGAAAGGCTGGAGCCATGGAGACTGAGGAGTCTCTGTTGAACAAAGTTAGAGATAGGACTAAGGTTCCTTGTGGCCAAAGATGAACTCCCAGGGAAGAACAGATGTTTCTGGTAGAAAAGATCACTAAGTTTAGCTGTAGGATTCTTCTCTAGCTCTCCGTGAAATCTTTAGTAAAATTTACTCCAATTGCTAGGGTTTTGCTTTCTTTTGATCTTTTGGATGGTGCTGAGGGTGGAAACCAAGGCTTTACATGTGCTAGGTAAGTGTTGGGCCTCTAAACCGCACCCCCAGCTCCTGTGAAAGCTCCTCAGAGAGCATAATGGGCTATTAGTGGGGAGTATGACAGAGTGACAAGCTCAGCTTCAGGGTGCTGGCTCTTGGGTGAAGGGGTAGATAACCCACTACAGTCCAGCAAAATCCCAATTCTTTTTTTTTTTTTCCTCCTGTATATTCCTATAGTAGCTGATGCTTGAAGAGCACTTCTGCAGTTTTTCCTTGGATTCTCAGAACAAGTAAACCGGAGAGATATTACTTGGAGATCCAGGAAGGTCAAGTGACTTGTCATAGGCACACACTGGACAGAGGCAGATGCTAGGTCCTTGAGACCAACACAAAACCTCTTCCTCCCAAGTACATGGTTTTCATGGAGGTTCTAGAAGTATTGCTTAATGGCCATCTGAAATCACCCACCAAGAACCATAGAAACTGACACTCGACTTAGAAATGTAAAGATTCCCATGCTTTTTTCAAAGATCTGAGGATATCACTGCCACAAAATATGGATAAACATCATTCCGATAAATAATTATACACAATTTTATTGTTTTTTAAAAAATCAACAATCTTAAATACTGTGGCATGGATAGGTTCCAAAAAACATGATGAAATTTAGACCAAAGAATGTCTAAGTTCAACAAGTGGTTGCTATCGTTGGCAAAGAGAAAATAAACGTTGAATTTAATGAGGTCTCTCCCATTATTTGACTGTCATGTGACTGATATGGCTACTTTCACATTAACATGTATTAGCTATAAAGCTTGAGCATTATAAGGACAAAGATGAGCTTCTAAACTTAACTCCCTGCTGGTAGCACTGTCATCCAGACCTCAGAACCCTGTCTTACAGTTGTGGCCTTTGGAAAATGAAGCCTCCCTTTTTGCATCTGTTTCCTCTTAGAGCAAGTCAGTAATATCAAAACACTCACCAAAGACCCTAAATGTCAGTGAACAGGAAATGGGGAGGGGGGTCGGATAATGTGTTTGTGTTGCAGAGGTTAAATAAACAATGATACATACATATAGTGAAATCATGTGCAGCCATAAAATGAATGGGCTGGAGCTACATACACTGGGAAGGACTGCATTTGAATCCTTGTTTCAAGGACTGCTTCTTGTGGAACACCAGCTACAACAGTGATAAATCATTCTGCAAAGCATTATTCTATTTAAAAAATTTCTATATATATAATAAAACGTATATATGAGCTGGGCACGATGGTGTAATCTCAGCTACTCAGATGGGTGAAATAGAAGGATTGCAGTATTGAGGCCAGCATGGGCAATTTAACAATACCCTAACTCAAAAAAAAGGGAAAGAGAGAAAGGAAGGAAGGGAGGGAGAGAGAGAGAGGAAATATATGAGTGTATATGTCTAATAAATCTTTAAAACTTTAGGAAAGTTTATATAATGACCTGTGGAGTATGGGAAGAGTTATATGGGCAAGGAAGAACACTGACTTCTTGTTTTATATTTACATATTTTCAATTAGTCCTCAGAGGACAGGGATCCTGATCTGTTTTTTTCACTGCCAAATCCCCAGTGTCTACAGAGGAATCTTTTGCACAGTAGATGTTTAATAAATATTTGTTAGGTGTATTTTCATTGTAATACATGTATCTTTATGGATCAGAGAATATATTGGAATACAAATGGGAACGTACTACTGGTATAAACTGGAGTCAGAGTCCACCTGTGTCTGGTTTTAATGGTAGAACTTGGCTAGATGTTATAGTTTGAATCTCAAATGTCCCCCTAAAAGCTCATGTGTTGTAGGCTTGGTTCCCAGCCGATGGTACTACCAGGTAGAGAGAGAAACTTTAGTAGATGGAGCCTTTGGTAGATGAGGAAGTGGGTCATTAGGGGTGTGCCCTCGAAGGACATATTGTATCCCTAGCCCCTTCCTCCTCTCTTTCTTTGCTTCCTTTCCACCATGAGATGAGCAGCTTTCCTCTGCCACACACTTCCACCATGATGTCCTGCCTCACCACAGGCCCAAAAGCAACAGGGCTAAGTGACCATGGACTGAAACTTCAGAAGCATTGAACCAAAATAAACTTGTGCTGCTTTAAGTTTATTTATTTTATTTTATTTTTGGCTTTGGTACCGGGGATCGAACTTGGGACCTTGTGCTTGCGAGGCAGGCAGTGGAACCACTGAGCTAAATCCCCGGCCCAAAATTTATTTCATATAGTTTTAGAAAAGTCTTTTTTTTTTTGGTACCAGAGATCGAACTCAGGTCCTTGCGCTTGCACAGCAGGTGACAAAACCACTGAGCTAATGCTTTAAGTTTATTTCTCTCAAGTATTTTGTTGCAGTGATTAAAAACTGACTAGTAAATCGGACCCTTGTATTAGTCAGCTTTTCTATTGCTTAGACTAAATACCAGATACCCACAACTTAAAGGAGGAAATCATTTGTTTGGCTCACAGTTTCAGAGATTTCAGACCATGATTGGCTGGCTCCAAGATAGGAACATCATGGCAGAAGAGTTTAGTGGAGCAAAGCTCCTCAGGTTATGGACCCAGGAAGCAGAGCAGGGAGATGGGACAAATGACCAGATATAGCACCCAAGGTCACTCCTCCACACCCAGACACACTCAGAATTGTGTTCCACCATAGATGCCAAGCCAACCAAGTTGACATAATCAAGCTTAATTATCACAGCAGTTTTCTATTTATCCCCTCGTGATGTGTCCTCAGCCCCGTGGCTCCAGGAAAAAATTATGCTTCTATCTAGTACCATGATGTCTTTACACAAGATCTAGTTGGAAAACCCTGTGCTCCTCACAGCACCCAGGAAAGCACTGCCCCTGGTCTAGCCCTGGTTTCTAGTCCAGGTCCATTGTGTGCTGTGTTCTTGGCTCTCTACCTCTCTTATTCTCTGCCTCTGCACTTGCTCAGTGTAGATCTCAGGTTTAGCTTGATGCCTGCCCCTAGTGAGCACATGGGTGGATGGATGCTGGGCTATGGGTCTTATCCAGAATGACATTGCACACAGTCTTGATTCTTAGTTAGAAGGAGGTTGGAAGGGAAGTTAACAGCAGATTTTGGAACCGGGCTGTCTGGGTTCATAGGCCAGCTGTGCCCCCTACGAACTGTGTGACTTTAAGCAACTCACTTCACCTGTCTGTGCCTGGTTCCATATCTGTGAGAAGGAGCTGATAATAATAGCTCTCTCACAAAGATGCTCTAGTAATTTGGTGAGTAACTACACATAAAACTCTTAGGCCAGCATCTGACACGCAAACAGTACTATGTGAATATTTGTGGTGATAGCTATAGGAAAAATGAAGAACAGAGAGGCTTTCTCTTTGTCTTTTCTTGCAGAATTCCATCTTTCCCTTTGCCAGGATGTGGGCTACATACAAGGACAGTCTTCCCAAGCTGAATGTCCTATGACTGCTGGCTATGGTGAAAGGTTTAGTGCTGATACCACTTTTGTGACAGGGTTGTGCTTGGGGATTGGCCCTGTTGACCGTGTCTGTGCAGTAGGGCTTCATGTCCATCATTTCTTTTGGCATATGTCCCAATTTCACGGGGTGGGAAAGTGTAGAGACTCCTTTATTGGTGCCATGGTGTTTGATGCACTGCTGCTCCTCAGCTGCGGCATCAGGAGAATATTAGCCATGTCTCGGGACAAGGACCTCATGAGGCCTTCCAGACAAAATGTCATCTTGCTCTTGCATGATGGGCTTTGCACAAGTTTCCAGGACAGAGCTGTACTGGTGAGACCTCTGCACAGATGCGAGTGTGCTGAACAAGAGCATCCAGACTCAGCAGTGCCTAAGCAAGCTTGATTCATCTTGTGCTAGGTGGAAAATGGCTCTCTGAAGAGTATTTAGGCCCAATCTCTTTAGTCAGCACTCCCCGACCCTGGCCACCAGCTGTTTATATGCTGGGGTAGTCTCTATTCCTCTTCCTGATTCTGTCTCCTGAAGGAATGAATGTGGGATAGACAGGACTGAACTGAGGGCCAAGAAGAATGGTATGATCCTGAAGCCTAATTCTGACTGACTATGTGAACTCAAGAAAATTCATTAATATCTTTGGCCTTTGGTTTCCTCATATTGAAGTTGAAGGAACAGACTTCATTCGATTTTTTTAAATTATCTGCT